ACTGAAGCTCTTTCCACACTCTAGGCATTTATGTGGTTTCTCTCCTGTGTGGATTTTGATGCAGGTAAAGAGTTCCTCTTCTACTGAAGCTCTTTCCACAATCAAGACATTTATGTAGTTTTTCTCCTGAATGGATTGTTTGATGCTGGAAAATTTTCCTCTCTGACTGAAACTCTCTCCACACTCCAGGCACTGATACGGTTTCTCTCCTGAGTGGATTGTTTGATGAATATAAAGATTTCCTCTCTGATTGAAGCTCTTTCCACACTCAAGGCATTTATGTGGTTTTTCTCCTGTGTGGATTCTTTGATGCAGGTAAAGACTTCCTCTTCTACTGAAGCTCTTTCCACAATCAAGACATTTATGTAGTTTTTCTCCTGAATGGATTGTTTGATGCTGGGAAAGTTGTCCTTTCTGACTGAAACTCTTTCCACACTCCAGGCATTTATTTGGTTTTTCCCCTGAATGGATTGTTTGATGCTGGGAAAGTTGTCCTTTCTGACTGAAACTCTTTCCACACTCCAGGCATTTATTTGGTTTTTCCCCAGTGGATTTTTTGATGCAGGTAAAGATTTCCTCTCCGAGTGAAACTCTTTCCACACTCCAGGCATTTATGTGGTTTTTCCCCTGTGTGAATTGTTTGATGTTCATACAGAGTTTCTCTCCTACTGAAGCTCTTTCCACACTCCAGACATTTATGTGGTTTTTCTCCTGAGTGGATTGTTTGATGAATGTAAAGATTTCCTCTCTGATTGAAGCTCTTTCCACACTCCCAGCACTGATACGGTTTCTCTCCTGAGTGGATCCTTTCATGTCTGTGCAGACTTCCTCTCCAATTGAAGCTCTTTCCACAATCAAGACATTTATGTGGTTTTTCTCCTGAATGGATTGTTTGATGCTGGGAAAGTTGTCCATTCTGACTGAAACTCTTTCCACACTCTAGGCATTGATACGGTTTCTCTCCCCAGTGGATTTTTTGATGCAGGTAAAGATTTCCTCTCCGAGTGAAACTCTTTCCACACTCCAGGCATTTATGTGGTTTTTCTCCTGTGTGAATTGTTTGATGTTCATACAGAGTTTCTCTCCTACTGAAGCTCTTTCCACACTCCAGACATTTATGTGGTTTTTCTCCTGAATGGATTGTTTGATGCATGTAAAGATTTCCTCTCTGATTGAAGCTCTTTCCACACTCCCAGCACTGATACGGTTTCTCTCCTGAATGGATCCTTTCATGTCTGTGCAGAGTCCCTCTCCTACTGAAGCTCTTTCCACAATCAAGACATTTATGTGGTTTCTCTCCCCAGTGGATCCTTTGATGTGTATAAAGGTTGCTCCTCCAACTGAAGCTCTTTCCACACACCAGGCACTTATGAGGTTTTTCTACCCAATGGATCCTTTGATGTTTATAAAGATGTCCCCTCTGACTGAAGCTCTTTCCACACTGAAAGCATTTATGAGGTTTTTCTCCTATGTGGATCCTTAAATGACTTTCAAGATGGCCAATTGTTTTGAAGGATTTTCCGCATTCGGGGCATTGATGTTTCCTTCCTCCCTTCTGGATCCTTCGGGGCTTTGGGGGTCTTCCGAAGGAGCCTCCGCCCTCCAGGCTCATCTCGGCGTCTCCGCCCGTTTCCTCCTCCCTGCATCGCCCTCTAGGCAGCCGCCTTTCCCGGGCTTCCCCTGGGCTCCTCCCTCCTGCGTCCCCGGAGCCCCCCGGCCTTTCCCTGCCATCTCCCACGGAAGCCGCGCCGGGACCGGGCAAGGCTGCTCCACGGGGCCCGCTCTCCTCCTCCTCCTCCTGGGCGGCGCCTCTTTCCTGCATCCGCCACCATCGTCCATCTTCCTGCAGGGGAGAAAGAGAAGAGGGTCACGGCTGCGTCCCCTTCCCTGCAGGGCAGGCCAGGCCCAGGCCCCTGCCTCCCACGGGCCTCTTGGGCATTCTCCAGGCGGACACGGCCTCCTTCCCAGCCTCCCGTCTCCCTCCCCGCCCTCAAGACTAGGCCTCAGGATCCCTGGCCTGCCTTATTCAGAGACACTCTCCCGGACTTCAACTCCCAGCATTCCCTGCGCCAAACCTGCATCATCCGCGCTACTCTGTCGTCGATTCAGGGAGCTCCCTTTTGCCCGTTTTAATTTTCTCTCCAAATACTTCACTTCTTCGTCCAGAGGATCGGCCCCACGGAGTCACCCTACCAATCGCTGCCTTCCTCAGAACGACCAATGGGCGTCCTCCTTTCTCCAATCAACCAGACGGCTCCTGCGCAGTGCCGAGGACGTGGAAGTGGGGTGGGGCGGGGAGCTCCCCTTCAACTTTGTGGTCTGATCTCCCCCCCTCCCCCGCTCTGTATTGAGGGAGGGGGAGGTCAGGGGCTCTTCTGGGGCTGCGACCTCATAGCAACCTCTGAAGGGGAGCCAGGGATGAAGGCTGGGAGGGGAGAAAGAAGAGACCCTGAGTTCAAGGGTTGCACAGCTCCCTTTTCAGTCCAGCCCACCTCACAGGGCTGTTGTTGGGGGAAGAGAGGAGGAAGGTGTCACCATTGCTAGAAGACCTTGGCTTCTTGCAGGCGTTCTCCTTCATTTTGCTGCATGTGTTCTCCACCTTATTTGTAAAAATAATAAATGGAGAATCCAAATAAATACGTAAAGTCGCTATGTGTGACTCACAAGTGTGTTTTTAAATAGCAACTACATGGAGTCTATTTGATGCAGGACAATTCTTGTTCCTAGATAGAAGAACTAGGAATTCATGCACAAAAGCAGACCAGCTCCAGTTAAACAGGACGTAAGGATGAGAATCTCCTCCAATGGTTCCTTCCTGCTAATGAATTTCCTCTCATTCCAATACATTATTGTTGGAAAAAGGAAACAGGGAATCATGCAATTTTGATAAGATCCAAGTTGGTTTCTTTCTGAGTCTCCTAATTGCTGGATCCCTCAACATTTGGCCAAAAGAGGATCATGTGACTAGGGGGTTCAGCATCCTGTCAGATCCCTAAAAGTGATACTGCCATTCAAGTGAAGGAAGGGGGGATGTGGATTCGATTTACTAGCATGGCCTGTGTCATCATATATTTTACAACCTATATCCTGGCGCCAAGGAAGCCTGAGATTCCCTTTACCTGCAGGAATTTATATGATAGTCATGTGGGTTGTCTCACTTTAAAGGGTAGTGGTGGGAATGCATGTTTGTTCGGGTTCTCAAAAGAAATAGTAAAGAAAACCTCTTCCCACTTGTGTATTGGCTAAAATCTGCATTCTGACTTAAAGGGAGGGGTCTCTACCACTTTAATCCTACTGCTTTGCCTAAAGGTATTCAGATTGTGATTTAGCTGGATGGTTTTCACTTCTGCTTAATAAAAGAATCCTTTTGAATAACTACGTTTCAAGAGTTCGTACTTTCTTAGGTTGGAAGGAGAGGAGATCCTTACAGAAAGCACAATCTGCAAAACGGTCAACCCAGAGAAGCAATCTTTGCTCTACTGAGGGGACCTTGCAAACTATGTCTGAAGCAGAGAACTGGGAGAAACCGATTGCTGGGGAGAGACAGTAACCGCCACCCAGTCGGATGCCTGCCTCGTGCGACCCATCGGAGAGGATGAGGTAACCCTGGAGAATCCTGAAAAGCCCCGCTGGTCAATTGGCATCGGGAAGAAAGATGGCTGGGATGAGAGAACCAGAGGAGTCACCCTCAACCGTGGCAACCGAAAACCGGGGTGGAAACTGGAACTAGAAGCCCTTACTGACCAGGGGGGCTGACCGAAGCACCCCTGAGGGAGGACTATCTGAAGAGGCATGTAACCCGATTGGTGATGGAGACTTTGGAAAATCTTAACATCCGAAGGGAGCCAGGACAACAACCAAAGAGCACTGAAAGGGCAGCAGTCATGGATGATGCCAGGGGAGGCACCCCCCCCCTGGAGGCCGCCTATCGAGCAGATGGTGCAGCAGCTACGGGAGAAGACCCAGCAAACCCTCCCCCCCAGGCAGCACGCACACCGGTGCCCATTCCCAATCAACCCCGGGCTCCTCAGCTGGAAAGAGAAATTCCCCCTCTTGGGGTGAAGTTTGATGGGAATCCGCAACAATTAGGATTCTTTGTGGCACATGTGCTCACCTACATGCAAGAGTATGGGCGTGATTTCCAAACCCAAGGATCCCGAGTGCGAGTTGTGACCCTAGCCCTAGAGGGTGCCGCAGCCAGATGGATGGTGACCCTACATAATGCCAACGCACCAGAACTGTGGAATTTCGACCATTTCATGACGGCCCTGCGACGTCGGTTCGAGGACCCACTGGCAGATCGCAAAGCACGTGACCGCATTAAGGTGGTGAGGCAGGGGCGACGGCCAGTAGCAGAGTACACTGAAGAATTCTGGGACCTCGCGTGTCGTGTGCACTGGCCGGAAGATATTTTGGTGAGCTGTTTCAAGGACGGACTGAGTGATGATCTATACAATGCCTGCGTGGCCCGAGGGGCACCGAATGACCTACATGAATGGTATGTCACCGCCGAAGAAGCTGAGATCGATATGGCCAGAAACCAGTATCGAGCGGGGCGAGCATGGAAGAAATCCTCACCCCAATGGAAGCAAGAGCCCCACAAACCACAAACCGCATTCTCCCCGAGATCTTCAGCCTGTTTCAAGTGTGGAAAAGAAGGGCACCGAGCTGCAGAGTGTCGTTCGCAAATACCCGCCCGGAACCACCCACCGGGGGAGGGTCCTGGAAAACCGGGTCGGCGTGGGAAGGAGACTGCCCTGAGGAGCAGGGAGGCCATAGAAGTCCCATCCCCTCCCCTCTTTGGGGAAGAAACCCTGGCATCTGAACAGGAGAAATCACACTCGTTCGGAAGCGATCCAGATGATGAGCCACTGGTAAGCAAACCAATTAAACCGCTTACCCTCCCCTTAAGACTATTTATCCCAAACCAGGACAGGGAGATAAGTATCCCCACCCTAGTGGATTCGGGGTGCACCCGTTGTTTGATCAGCCCAACCTTAGTAGGGAAGTTAGGGATTAACGTAAGAAAGCTGAAAACCCCCATTGCTTTCTGCCAACCACATGGGTCAATAGCAGGAGGGGAGCCAGCTTCTCTGGCCACCGTGCCTCTACATATAGGCATTGGAAGCCACGAGGAAAGGTTTACCTTTATAGTGGCACCTGGCATGGAATGGCCGTTGGTTCTGGGCCTTGCGTGGCTAAAAAGATGGGACCCACAAATCAATTGGAAACAAGGCATCATAAAATTTCAGAGGAAGGTGACTTTTGCTGAGTATCCACATAAAGGACTTGAGGGGGCAGAGAATCGAGAAACGGCCATGCCTGGTCACGCCACACCAACTGAGGGCATACCCATAGAATACAAGATTTAGCTGAGGTTTTTAGCGAAAAAGCCTCAGATGAGCTCCCCCCCCCACCGTGCCACTGACTGTGCAATAGAAATCTTACCCGGCGCGAAACTCCCTAAAGCCAAGATGTACAGCATGTCACCGAGGGAGTTGGAAGAGCTGAGAACATTCATTGAGAAAAACCTAGCAAGGGGTTTCATCGAGCCAGCCCGACCAAAAATTGCAGCCCCAGTGTTGTTTAGAGAGAAAAAAGATGGTTCAAAACGCTTATGCGTTGACTACCGGAACATTAATACTATCAGTGTGCAGAACGTGTATCCTCTCCCCCTTATGAAATATATGTTAGCACACCTCGCTAAAGGGAAATTTTTTTCAAAGCTGGACTTAAGGGAGGCTTACTACCGTGTCAGAATTAAGGAAGGGGATGAGTGGAAAACGGCATTTAACACCCCCCTCGGCTGCTACCAATTCAAGGTGTTCCCCTTTGGGTTGCAAGGACTCCTGCAGTGTTTATGCAGTTAAGAAATGAAGTGCTGTATCAGGGGGTTCTGGTCTATTTGGATGACATTTTAATCTATACCGAGACCAAAGCAGAACATGTAAAACTAGTCAGGGCAGTTTTAAACAAACTCCGTGCTGCCAAACTTTATGCCAAACTTTCCAAATGTGAATTCCATCAAGAGAAGATTGACTATTTGGGATACCGCATTTCACACCAGGGGGTTGAGATGGATCCTCTAAAAGTGCAGGCTGTACTTGATTGGGACCCTCCACGCACACGTAAACAGTTACAGAGCTTCCTGGGGTTTGCTAACTTTTACCGCCAGTTTATCCCTGCGTTCGCTCAGATTGCCCTCCCCATCACCAAGCTCTTAAAAACAAAGGGGGAGGACAACCCTAAACCAAAGCAACCATTGAACTGGACTATGGAATGCCAGGCAGCATTTGAAAAACTTAAACGGCTGTTCTCAGCAGAACCAATTCTACAACACCCGGACACGGAGAAACCATTTGTCATACAAGCAGATGCCAGCGATGTGGCAATAGGAGAGGTCCTGCTTCAGAAGAATGAGCAAGACCAACTACAACCCTGCACTTACACATCCAAAAAGTTGAATGAGACTGAGCAAAGGTGGGCTATTTGGGAGAAACAGGCGTATGCAGTTCGTTGGGCATTGTTAACCTGGCGGCACTTCCTAGAAGGCAGTAAGACCCCTTTTGAAGTCTGGACTGATCATAAAAATCTAGAAGCCCTAAAGACCCCAAGGAAACTCTCCCCAAAACAAGTACGATGGGCTCAGTACTTTAAACGGTTTGATTTTACTCTAAAATACCTCCCGGGGGAAAAAAACTTTCTGGCGGATGCGCTATCCAGAAAACCGCAATACATTCGTGCAAGGTCAGACGTAATCAAACCTATAGTACAAAACAGTCAACTAGCCGCTAAAGTAGTCACCAGATCCCAGGAAAAACAAGAAACAGTGACAGACAATGACATCACCCAAAATTTTAAACAAGCATTGGCCACTGATGAATGGTTTTTGAACAACAAATCCAGCTGTCTGATGAAAGAAGACTTGGCTTGGGTGGGGGGGAAGTTGTATGTCCCTGCAAGCCAAAGGCTATGCTTAATGGTACGGTGCCATGACTCCAAATTAGCTGGACATTTTGGGTTTGTGAAAACTTTACACCTGATTAAAAGACAATTTTGGTGGCCATCACTAAAAAAGGACATAGAAAGCTATGTAGCAGCTGCCCCATTTGTGCAGCAGCAAAAAGACGCCAGGGGAAATCCCCAGGTCTATTGCAGAAGGTAGCTGAACCTGCAGCGCCTTGGAGAGAGATTGCTATGGATTTCATCGTGGAATTGCCAAACAGTGAGGGAAATACTGTTATTTGGGTTGTGACAGACCTATTTTCAAAACAGGCACATTTTATACCCTGCCAAAAGATCCCAACTGCTAAAAGTTTAGCCAAATTATTCCTAATACACATTTATCGACTTCATGGTGCTCCACAAAGGATCATATCCGACAGAGGGGCTCAATTCACCTCCAACTTTTGGAGGGCGTTTTTGGGCTTACTTGGTACTGGCCAGGGGTTGAGCACATCCTTTCATCCTTGTACTAATGGTAATTCTGAAATTTTGAACTCGGTACTAGAACAATATTTTAAGATGTTTCATTAATTTTCAACAGGATAACTGGACCGAACTTTTGCCTTTTGCTGAAGTTGCGTTTAATAATGCTGTCCATTCAAGCACTGGTTTTACCCCTTTTAGAGTAGCAACAGGCCAGGATTTCAGCCCCATGCCTGAACTACCCACAGAAGAACCCACCATCCCCTCACTTAAGGAGTGGATGGATAATTTGCGAAACACGTGGCCAGTGGTTAGATTAGCCTTACAGGAAGCTAGAGAAGCTTTTAAGATTCAAGCTGACAAGAAAAGGATGGAACCCAAACCTTTTCATATTGGAGACAGAGTATACTTATCTACAAAATTCTTGAAATCATTACAACCATCAAAGAAACTAGGGCCAAAGTTCACTGGACCTTTCCCCATCACTAGAATCATCAATCCAGTAGCAGTTGAACTACTTCTTCCAAAGACACTCAGGCAGATCCACCCAGTATTCCATATCAGTTTACTCAAACGAGAAGTAATCTCATCCCTCAGACCACCTGCATCTACACCACCCGTTCCCATCATGATTGAAGGTGAACAACACTTTGAAATCAAGGAAATCCTTGATTCTAGGATCCACAGAGGGAAAGTCCAATACTTAGTTGCTTGGAAACATCTACCATCAGCACACAATGAATGGGTCGCCAAACACCACGTTAGGGCTCCGATCTTACTGAGAAAATTTCACTCCCAACACCCTAACAAACCTTGTTGATCTACTATCATGAAATCTTGTGTATATTTGTTTTTGTTTTTTTACAGGTGGACCCTTTTGTTTTCTAAGGAGGGTAGCATGTCAGATCCCTAAAAGTGATACTGCCATTCAAGTGAAGGAAGGGGGGATGTGGATTCGATTTACTAGCATGGCCTGTGTCATCAGATATTTTACAACCTATATCCTGGCGCCAAGGAAGCCTGAGATTCCTTTTACCTGCAGGAATTTATATGATAGCCATGTGGGTTGTCTCACTTTAAAGGGAAGTGGTGGGAATGCATGTGTGTTCGGGTTCTCAAAGGAAATAGTAAAGAAAACATCTTCACACTTGTGTATTGGCTGAAATCCGCATTCTGACCTAAAGGGAGGGGTCTCTACCACTTTAATCCTACTGCTTTGCCTAAGGGCATTCAGATTGTGCTTTAACTGGATGGTTTTCACTTCTGCTTAATAAAAGAATCCTTTTGAACAACTACGTTTCAAGAGTTCGTACTTTCTTAAGTTGGAAGGAGAGGCGATCCTTACACATCATTTGTTTACTGACACTGAATACATGTATCATTTCTTTCTGTACCCTCTTTAAAAACATGAATGTTTTTGCTTTGCTTGAATTAACTGATGATCTGTATTTTCAGGTGGGCAAAGAAACACATTTGCAAATGTAAAAGTTTCAAATTCAGGATCTCAAGTCCTTTTCAGCTCCACAACAAACTTGGTGCCTGAGTTTGGAGATTAAGACGTGATTTAAATTCATCAACCAATAATTAAAAGTAACAGGAAAAACAGCTGGGTGTTCTCATTTTCTCTCTGCTTCCCTTTCCTAAGAGGCCAAATGAGCGTTTTCGTCCTTGCAATACAATTCTTGATAAATTGGCTGCAAATAGAGGGAAGATTTCCCAGAGTCCAGGAGCCCTTCTGAAGACTGACTAACCTCTTGAAGGCATCTTCACTCTGACAACTGACAGTAACTGGCAGTTTAGCCTGCATGGATGAGGTCATAAAGCCATCAGAATTCCCATGGAGATGACAGGTGCCTATCAAACCTCACCTGCTCCACCTTTTCATTCCAATGCCAGGCAAATGCCTTTAGGAGGCAACCAGACAAATCACTCAAGCTGCCCATTTCTCATCTTTTTGCACAAAATGCAGATCTTTGGATGTAGACTGCCTCTGCCAAAGGAAGCTCTACACATTAATGTAGCTCCGGGTCAACTTCCCATCACATTCCCTTTGTGTTGCCGTGCTGTTTTGTGTTTTGTTCCATCATCCCAGGTGAGCTCCCCCCATTATTTCTGCTTAAGTGCAGACATGGCCCCCAAGGCACATGACCCTCTTTTGGCCAAGTTCCAGATGTTGAGGGATAAAGCAGTTAGAGAGACCCAGGAAGAAACCAACTTGGATCCTGTCAAAATTGCATGATTTCCCCTTTTCTTTTTCCCAACAACGAGCTATTGACTTCTATGAGAAAATTCACCAGCAGGAACCACTGGCAGGAGGTTCTCCTCCTTAGCTCCTCTCTAACTGGAGATGGTCTCCTTTTGTGCATGAATTCCGAATTCTTCTATCTAGGATCAAGAATTTTCCTGCATCAAATGGAGGCCATGTAGTTGCTATTTAAAAACATCAGACATAGTGAGTTTATGTATTTATTGGGATCCTGCCTTTATTATTTTTACAAATAAGGTGGAGAACATATGCAACAAAACAAAGGAGAAAGCCTGCAAGAAGACAAGGTCTTCTAGCAATGATGACACCTTCCTCCTCTTTTCTCCCAACAACAACCCTGTGAGGTGGGCTAGACAGAAAGTTGGGCTGATTCAAACTTGAACTCTGCTCTCTTGCTTTCTACCCGGTGCCTTAATCACTGGATCCCCTTCATAGACTGCTATAAGGTCGCAGCCACAGAAGAGCCTCTGATCTCCGCCTGCCTCAATACAGAGCGGCTGGGAGGGGGAGATCGGACCCCAAAGTTCAAGGGAAGCCCCGCCCCCCTTCCACGTCCTCGGCACCGTGCAGTCACCATCTGGGTTATTGAATGAACACGGACGTCCATTGGTCACTCTGGGGAGGGCAGCGATTGGCAGGAGGACTCCATGGGGCGGATCCTCCAAAGGAAGAGGTGGAACTAGTGGAGAAAAGGGCATGAAGCCTCCACTTCCGGAACTAAAACGGGCAACGACTGAGCTGCAAGAATCGGCGACAGAGGAGCGCGGATGATGCAGGTTGGGCGCAGGGGATGCTGGGAGTTGAAGTCTGGGAGGGTCTCTCCGGAGGCCTGGGAGCCCGAGGCCTAGTCTGGGGGGCGGGCGGGGAGGGAGACGGGAGGCTGGGAGGGGGCCGTGTCCGCCTGGAGAATGCCTGGGTGGCCCGTGGGAGGCGGGGGCTTGGGCCTGGGCGTCCCCTGCGGGGAAGGGGAGGCAGCCGTGACCCTCTTCTCTTTCTCCCCTGCAGGAGGACGGAGGATGGCAGCGGATGCAGGAAAGAGGCGCCGCTCAGGAGGAGGAGGAGCGGGCCCCGCAGAGCAGCCCTGACCGGTCCTGGAACGGCTTCCCCGGGAGACAGCGGAGAAAGGCCGGGGGGCTCCGGGGCTGCAGGAGGGATGAGCCCAGGAGGAGCCCAGGAAAGGCGGCTGCCTGGAGGGCGATGCGGGGAGGAGGAAATGGGCGGAGACCCCGAGATGGGTCTGGAGGGCGGAGGCTCCTTCGGAAGACCCCCAAAGCCTCGAAGGATCCAGGAGGAAGCAAAGGAACATCCATGCCCAGAATGTGGAAAATCCTTCAAAAGAAATCATCATCTCCAAAGGCATCTTAGCATCCACTCAGGAAAAAAACCTCATAAATGCCTGGAGTGTGGAAAGAGCTTCCGTCAAAGGGAAAATCTCCATTCACATCAAAGACTCCATTTAGAAAACCAGTACCAATGCTGGCAATGTGAAAAATCCTTCAAAACAATTCAAATCCTTGAAAAACATGTAAGAATCCATTCGTTAGAGAAACCATTTAAATGCCTGGAGTGTGGAAAGAGCTTCCATCATTGGAGTAACTTCGATATACATGAAAGAATCCATTCAGAAGAAAAAAAGTATGAATGCCCAAAATGTAAAAAATCCTTCAAAAGAAACGACCATCTTCAAAGGCATCTAATAATCCACTCGGTAGAAAAACCTCACAAATGCCTGGAGTGTGGAAAGAGCTTCAGTCAGAGGGGACATCTTTATAGACATCAAAGAGTCCATTTACAAGAGGAGTATGAATGTGGGGAATGTGAAAAATCCTTCAAAACAATTCAAATCCTTGAAAAACATCTAAGAATCCACAAGCCAAATATATGCCTGGAGTTTGGAAAGAGCTTCAGTCAAAGGGGAAGTCTTGATAGCCATCAAAGAATCCACACAGGAGAAAAACCCTACAAATGCCTGGAGTGTGGAAAGAGCTTTACTGAGGGTGGACACCTCCGTCGACATCAAAGAGTCCACACAGGAGAAAAACCACATAAATGCCTTGAATGTGGAAAGTGTTTCAGTAGGAGAGGAACTCTGTATGGACATAAAATGATTCACACAGGAGAAAAACCGCATAAATGTCTGCAGTGTGGAAAGAGCTTTAGTCAGAAAGGAACCCTTGACGGACATCAAAGAATCCACTCAGGAGAAAAACCCTACAAATGCCTGGAGTGTGGAAAGAGCTTTATTGAGCGTAGTAGCCTCCGTTGACACCAAAGTGTCCACACAGGAGAAAAACCACATAAATGCCTCAAATGTGGAAAGTGTTTCAGTCGGAGAGGACACCTTAAAAGACATCAAAAAATCCACTCATGGGAGAGAAAAACCACATTAATACCTGGAGTGTGGAAAGAGCTATATTCAGTGTAGGGGCCTCCATCGATTCATGCGGGAGAAAAATTATAAACATGAGTGTGAAAAACCTTCAGTCCCAGAGTGTATCTCAGGAATTGAATTGAATTGCGCATTAAATCTGGCCAAGTGTGAATAGGCACACTAGGAATTTGTCTTAAGCTCTCAGTGTACATACAAAGCAACAGAATAATGATATTCATGATAATTATAATAATTCCAATATGAGGGCGGAGTAAAGAAGATATTAAGAAGGGTAAATAATAACTGCCAAATAAGGGACTTTCCCAGGCTGAATAATAAAGGGCTTTTTCAATTGTACATACGAGATGTTTCAACTGGCTGAAATTGTCCTTTTCACAACAGACTTTCCTGACTCATGATGCCATTTCCCATCTGGACGTTCTTTTAATGCAAGGCTCATTATTATAATATGGGATGTTAATTTCTATGTCTCTGATGTAACTGTAACTGAGCAAGGTGATTTCTTCCAGGGTGGATTTCATTTAAATCAGGTTGATTTAAATCACGATTTAATTTATTATGTAAATCACTAGCAAAAAGGCCCATGGTTACTGTGAAATTGTGTGAATGTATCAGTGCAGTGCATGTTATCTCAGCTTGCAGAGCTTGGATTCATTGAATGAGTTTCCCAGAAATTTAAATATTGCAGAAAATACCCCTTCATGCTTCATAACTAAGCTCCATTTCATGCTGAATAAACTAAATTGTTAATACATCTTAAATATAGAACCATCTTTAGATAGATTTTTACATCAAAAGCATTTTATTGAAATGAATTTGCTAAAAATAAAAAACCCGATTTCAATAAAAAAAATCTATTTTTTTTTTAAATTAAATTGATTTCTATCCACTGATTTCTTCTAAGCAATCAACTGTTGTTTTGTACTTTTTCTACTGTTTGGAGTATAAAATGAAACCTGATTCTGTGTCCTGGATTCCTTCTTTTCATTGAGGGAAATCTCTTTGTTACAATACTCTTAATAAATTGCCTTTGAATGCTCATCCCACTCAGATCCTAATTGGAGCAAGTGTGCTGTGGCTGAATCTAGGGCTCATTTGGCCTTCATTGTTGGGGGTGCAAAGGAGCTTCTCCCTGCCATTGTTTGATATAATCTATGTGGATTTCCCAAATGTGGGGACCTATTAAGACCATCTCCAAGCATCTGAAGCTCTCAGTTGGATTCCCTGAATGGTCCCCTTGTCTTCCAGCAGAAACCCCTACAAGAGACTCTCTAAGGCCAAGGAAGCTTTGTGAGATATGAGCCATATTCTTAAAAAGCCTCCACTCTTTTAGCCTTAAACACCTGGCTCTTCCCCAGGTGCTGGGAGATGAGACAAGGAGAAGGTGGCATGGATTGGCCCCAGGTTTTTCTTTATTTTTAAAACGGTTTTTGGGAGCTGCACTGAGTTGACTGAAAGATGGGCAGTTATAAGAATTTTTCAAATGAATCAGACCCATTGGGGACCTCTTTGATCTCCCACTAGGTGCAGAGACTAGGTTTTCCCCAGTTGTCAGGATAGCGAGAGTCCCCCATTACTAGGCTTTCCCCTTCTCTCCCTCAGGCTGGTCCCCCAGAAGCCTCTCCTGTCATCTCCTCTCCCCTTCTCTCCCTCAGGCTGGCCCCAAAGATCCCCTCCTTCCGATCCCCTTTACTCCCTCAGGCCTCCCCATAGATCTCCTCCTATCCCCTTCTCTCCCTCAGGCTGGCCCCATAGATCCCCTCCTCCTATCCCTTTTCTCCCTCAGGCTTCCCATAGATCTGCTCCTATCCCTTTTCTCCCTCAGGCTTCCCCATAGAAGCCTCTCCGCTTCTCTCCCTCAGGCTTTCTAGCTGCTTCTCTCCATGAGGCTTTCCCCACAGAAGCCTCTCCTATGCTATCCCATTCCCTCCAGAGTTATTTTCAAGTTGGGAGGGGGAGTTGAACGTCTAACTAATTAGCATCAGAGCGTGTTATAATAATATAGGAAATACTAATGCTCTGATGGTCGTTTCAAAAAATCCTTTCTTAGTGAGCACCTAGAAGCCAAGAGGAACATAGGTGGCAAATTTCAAGCTTGTAGGCTTTACGGTTCTGGAGATTTCGTGATTAATGCGTGAGTGGTTTTCGCTTATATGTAGATTAGTATCCTGCACTGGATACTTTGGCTCCTCTGGACTAATGCAACCCATGAATTTGTCTCTTGTGGGATGTTATCTAGAATCAAGGTTTTCTGTTGTTCAAACTTCATAAGCAATCAGTGTATTTAACATTTCATCATTTGTTTACTGACACTGAATCAGAGGTGGGTTGCAGCAGGTTCTGACCAGTTCTGGAGAACCCGTAGCGGAATTTTTGAGTAGTTTGGAGAACCGGTAAATACCACCTCTGACTGGCCCCGCCCCCATCTATTCTCTGCCTCCCGAGTCCAAGCTGATAAGGGAATAAATGGGGATTTTGTAGTATCCTTCCCCTGCCATGCCTATCAAGCCACACCCCACTGTGCCATGCCATGCCCACCAAGCCACACCCACAGAACCGGTAGTAAAAAAATTTGAAACCCACCACTGCACTGAATATACGTATCATTTCTTTCTGTACCCTCTTTAAAAACATTAATAAATGTTTGTCTCAAGTGCATCAGCCCTCAGTGTATCTAGAAAGCAACAGAATAATGATATTCGTGATAATAATTATAATTCCAATAAGAGGAATTATTTATCTTTACTTCAATTGGGTAAAGAAGACAATAAGGGTAAATAATAACTGCCAAATAAGGGACTTTCTCAGGCTGAATAATAAAGGACTGTTTCAATTGTACATGCTAGATTGTACAACTGGCTGAAATTGTACCTTTTCACAACAGAGACTCCTGGTGCCATTTCCCATGTGAATGTTCTTTTAATGCAAGGCTCATTTCAGTGGTTATCCTTAATATTATGGGATGTTCCTGTCCATGTCTCTGATGTAACTAACTGAGCTGGATGATTTCTTCCAGGTTGGAATTGATTTAAATCATGTCGATTTAAATCATGATACAAATCACTATTAAGAAGCCTTGATTTAAGTCAACCTTTTATATCATACTTTTTAAAGAGCAACCCTCATCTCTGTCCCGCAGTGTCTCCTCCTCAGACCCGCTGTTGACTCACCCACAGTCCCGTTCACTTTCAAGGGATGGCTGGTGATGCGGCAGGGACACAGCTCGGTGAGGGTCGTGGCTGGCAGGAGGTGAGTGGATGCCCGCTAGCAGGTGCTGCCCCGATGGATCTGAAATGACAGGTGCTCTTTAATACATTTATAAGCTGCTTAGAAGGCTTCACTTCCATTTTTATTGCTTGCCCTTTCTCCTCACACTGGGAGCCTGGTGGTACAGATGCATTTCTCTTCCCACAATCAGAGTTTGTAGTCTACATAGATTTGCAAAAGAATGGGATAAAGGAATATTCCTGCGCTTTATGATTTATCCCACGGTTACTGTGGAATTGTGTGAATGTATCAGTGCAGTCCGTGTTATCTCCGCTTGCAGAGCTTGGATTCATTGAATGAGTTTACCAGAAATTTAAATATTGCAGAATATACAGCTTCATGCTACACAAGCAAGCTCCATTTCAAGATGAATAAACTACATTATTAATGTATCTTGAATAGAAAATTATCTTTAGCTAGATTTTTACCCCAAAAGTATTTTATTAAAATAAATTTGATAAAAAATGACCAAAAAAATCTGATTTAAATTTTTTAAAATCTGATTTTTTATTTTTATCTTTTTAAATCTATTTTTATCGACCCTGATTTCTTCAATGCAATCAACTCTTATTTTGTACTTTTTCTACTTCATGGAGTATAAAATGAAACCCGATTCTGTGTCCTGGATTCCTTCTTTTCATTAAAGGAAATCTCTTAATACTCTTCATAAGTTGCCTGTAAATAGTCATCCCACTCAGTGCCTAATTGGAGCAAGTGTGCCGTGGCTGAAGTCTCTACTGTCTAGTATTGTAAGGGGTGGAAGTATAGGAGGGTTTCTCCTAAAATCTACCACCATTTCTACGGTTTTGAGTGTATTTAGTTCAAGATTGTTCTGGTTGCACCACAAGGCTAGTTGTTCAACCTCCGGACTGTATGCAGATCCATTGTCGTCTCGAATGAGACCAGTCACTGTTGTGTCATCTGCAAACTTCAGTACTTTAACAGAGGGATCTTTTGAGATGCAGCCCTTGGTGTAGAGAGAGAAGTGGCGAGAGCACACAGCCCTGGGGGCTCCTGTGCTAATTGTACAAGTATCTCCAGTCAGAAATGAAGAAGCTTCTTGGATGAGAAGCGAAATACCTTCAAAGGAAAACCAGAAAGTCCAGCTGCTTCTTGAAAAAGCACCTTTGGGACAACCATGACCTGGATGACGGAGAATCTCCAGAGACATTCAGGAGGCCTTCTACAGTTCCAGACAAGCGGGAAGATGCTGCATTGGGAGCAGCTGGTAGAGTCTTTATTGGCTTCTATGTTATTGTCTGCGTGCGCTTGTATAAATGTCATGCATTCCTCTCAATGGAAATAAGGTATTCAGTTCTGGGAGCCTGAGGTGCTGGCCCCACCACTGGGGGGGTGGGGGGTGATGGCCAGTTTGGGGGACGGGGCCCACGTATATATCTTTTATATCATTTATATCTTCTGACTTTGCAACATTTGAAGGAACTTGAGTACAATGTCAAGGTAAAATAAAAATCAACACTGCCATTTCTTGCCAAGTACTACCTGTAAAGATCTAGTACTACCTGTACAGTTTGGGGGCAATATATCAAACTCATGAGCGATAACTGCAAAATACGTCCCAGAGACAGTAAGCAGGGTTGAGTCAGCCGGCCCCTCCCCACCTCTAGCTGCCTTACCAGCCCCTCCCTCCCTGGATCCAGCTTCTCCTTTCTCTTTGCTCCTCCTTTCTGAAGGACCTTTGGAAAACTACAGCAGAGGGGGAAATCCCCTCCAATACTGCCCCCTTCATATTTGGATTTTGCAATCTTTTTTGAGCCCTTGGAAACCTGATGCCGAAGTTGAGACGTGTGTGTATATATTTTCCTCCCACACACCCTCTTTGGAGAGGCTCCTGTTGCAGCTGCTGCTGGGGCCAGGGTGCCCTGCGATATGGCCCTCCGCCTCCCTCATTTTCTCTTATTCTTGCAGCCGGCTGGCAAAGCAACACACCTGCTTATCTGCCAGCACATTTGCAAGTTCCCTTCACACCAACCCACCCTTGGGCTACCTGTAAAGCCAGGCCTCTCCCCCTTAATCAAGGAGGTAAAGACTCTTGAAATTTTGCATTTGAAAAGGATCCTTTTATTGAGAAAGAAGTGATAGGTGGGCGAAAGCAAAGCAGGATCTGGGGTCCTTAAGGCAATACAATAGGAATAAAAGAAGTTAGAATCCCCTCCCAACCGTCTGATGTGGATTTAGCCAATCCACATTCCCTCCCCACTCCTGGGGGAAGGATACCGCAAAATCCCCATTCCCCATACAATAAGCCACCCAGAGTTATTGGGAGTTGGGCTGCTCTACAAATTTAATAGAAGTCATACCTAAATAAATGGGTTCGTCCCCCCGAAATTTCCTGCCCTTGGATATCCCAGAGGGCCACTTTGAAACATCCCCAAGGACCCCAAAGTATTGTTGGATGGTGCCACGTTTAAGGACAGTGGGAGAGAAATTCTCTCCTCAAAAGTTTGAACTTCAGGCATCGTTTCTCATACAGCAGTCCAGGACAGAAAGCAAAATCCCGTCTCCGTTGAACCACTTCTGCCAAAATAAAATACCGCATAGCTTAATGATGCTGAACCCCCAAGGCACATGACCCTCTTTTGGCCAAGTTCCAAATGTTGAGGGATCCAGCAGTTAAAGAGATCCAGAAAGAAACCAGCTTAGATCCTATCAAAATTGCCCGATTTTTCTGCTTCCTTTTTCCAACAATTATTTATTTATTTATTTATTTATTTATTCGCATTTCTATACCGCCCTTCTCCTTTCGGACTCAGGCGGTGAACAGCCGGATAAAAAACATCTATAACAAACATCACAATTAAAATAAGATTAAGATAATTTATAAATTTGGCTCATAATTTAAAATTTGTCAATTAAAATAAATATTAAAATTTTAAAAATTTTAAAACTAACCCTAAAATCAGGACAGACCAGCTAGTTGAAAAAAATGAGTTTTTAGGGCCCGACGAAAAATCCGGAGGTCGGAAATCACTCGTATCTCTGGGGGTAGATTGTTCCATAGGGTAGGTGCCACCACAGAGAAGGCTCTCCTCCTGGGGGTCGTCAGCCGGCATTGTCTGGCCGACGGCACCCTGAGGAGACCCTCTCTGTGGGAGCGAACCGGCCGGTGGGAGGCTGTGGTGGCAGAAGGCGGTCCCGTAAGTACCCTGGCCCTAAGCCATGGAGCGCTTTAAAGGTAATCACCAACACCTTGAAGCGCACCCGGAAGTCCACCGGAAGCCAATGCAGCTCGCGCAGGAGAGGAGTCACATGGGAGCGCCCCGTCGCTCCCATAATCCCCCGCGCAGCCGCATTCTGCACCAGTTGGAGCCTCCGGGTGCACCCCAAGGGAGCCCCATGTAGAGAGCGTTACAATAGTCCAGACGAGAAGTGACGAGTGCTTGAGTGACCGTGCGTAGGGAGTCCCGGTCCAGAAAGGGACGCAACTGGCGTATCAGGCGAACCTGACAAAAAGCCCTCCTGGCACGGCTGTCATATGCCCTTCTAAGGACAGCCGCGCATCCAGGAGGACACCCAAGTTGCGGACCCTCTCTGTGGGGGCCAATGATCGCCCCCAATAACCAGCGATGGCGTCAGCTGGCTATACCGGGACGCCGGCAGCCACAGCCACTCGGTCTTGGAAGGGTTGAGTCGAAGCCTGTTTCTCCCATCCAGACCCGCACGGCCTCCAGGCACTGGGAATCACTTCCAAGGCATCATTGGGATGGTCTGGGGTGGAAATGTACAGCTGAGTGTCATCAGCGTACTGATGGAACTCCACCCCAAAACCACGGATGATCTCACCCAGCGGCTTCACATAAATGTTGAACAGGAGGGGCGAGAGGACCGACCCTTGCGGCACCCACAAACAAGGCGCCTTGGGGTCGACCGCTGCCCCCTGTCAACACAGATTGCGACCGGTCGGAGAGATAGGAGGAGAACCACCGCAAAACAGTGCCCCCCACTCCCAGTCCCTCCAGCCCGCGCAATATGATACCATGGTCGATGGTATCAAAAGCCGCTGAGAGGTCTAATAGGACCAGGATAGAGGAATAACCCCTATCCGGGCCCTCCAGAGATCATCCACCAACGCGACCAATCCTTTTTCCGTTAATTATGTGTTGGAATGAGAGGAAATTCACTAGCAGGAACCATTGGCAGGAGGTTTTCATCCTTAGGTCCTCTTTAACTGGAGACGGTCTGCTTTTGTGCATGAATTCTGAATTAGAATAGAATCCCAGAGTTGGAAGGGACCTTGGAGGTCTTCTAGTACAACCCCCTGCTTAGGCAGGAAACCCTACAGCATTTCAGGCAAATGGTTATGCAATCTCTTCTTTAAAACTTCCAGTTTCCACCCTTTGCTTCTTGTCCTGCCCTCAGGGGCTTTGGAGAATAGCTTGGCTCCCTCTTCTTCTATCTCGGAACAAGAATTCTCCTGGATCAAACAGAGACCATGTAGTTGCTTCTTAAAAACAAATTTCTCAGTTATTGAATCCATATAGAGAATTTATTAGAATCCTGGATTTATTTTTACCAATAAGGCGGAGAAGACATGCAGCAAAATGAAGGGGAATATTTGGAGCTGAGGGTTGAACTGAGGGGTCTTTGGAGCTCTCTGAGCCCCCCTCCCTTCTAGCCATGAGGAAGGAAGCTACTTTGGGCAATGAAATGTCTGCAAGAAGAGAAGCCCCCAGGAGCCCCTCCCCCTCCTCCCATCCAGCACAGCTTCCTCCTCTCTTCCCCCAACAACAACCCTGTGAGGTGGGCTGGACTGAAAAAGGAGCTGTGCAACCCTTGAACTCAGGGTCTCTGGCTTTCTCCCCTCCCAGCCTTCATCCCTGGCTCCCCTTCAGAGGTTGCTAGGAGGCCGCAGCCCCAGAAGAGCCCCTGACCTCCCCCTCCGTCAATACGGAGGGTGCAGGGGGGGAGATCAGACCCCAAATTTCAAGGGGAGCTCCGCCCCACTTCCAAGACCTCGGCACCACGCAGGCGACATCTGGTTGATTGGAGGAAGGCGGACACCGATTGGACATTCTGAGGAAGGCGGCGATTGGCAGGATGACTCCGTGGGGTGGTCCCTCCGAATTTAGAGGTGGAGCTTTTGGAGAAAAAAAAGGCACGAAGACTCCAATTCCGGAACTAAAATGGGCAACGAGGGAGCTGTCTGAATTGGCGACAGAGAAGCTCGGATGATGCAGGTTTGGCTCACGCGATGATGGGAGTTGAAGTCCGGAAGGATCTCTCCGGAGAGGGCAGGCCCGGGAACACGAGGCCTAGATTGGGGGGTGGGCAGGGAGGGAGACAGGAGGCTGAGAAGGAGGCTGTGCCTGCCTGGAGCATGCCTGGGAGGCCCGTGGAAGGCGGGGGCTTGGGCCTGGGCCTCCCCTGCGGGGAAGGGGATGCAGCCGTGACAGTCTTCTCTTTCTCCCCTGCAGGAGGATGGAGGATGGTGGCAGATGCAGGAAAGAGGCACCGCCCAAGAGGAGGAGGAGGAGAGCGGGACCCGCAGAGGAAATGCATTGGTTACAATTGATGCTCCCCAACTTCTGATTCTTTTGCCTTTTGAACATCTTAGAAAGATTGGAAAAACTTCTCACAAAACGCCAAGGTCCCCAGTGTGTTTTCGATCCTCTCTAGTCTGGTCTCTTTGCTGCCGCCCGGTGCTGGTAGCACTGTTTATTTATATCGATAAAGTAGGGATAATCCCTGAAGGGTGGAGGTTAGCTATAGTTTTTCCAATTTTTAAGAAAGGTGACAGAGCCGCCCCATCCAACTACCGCCCCATCAGTCTTCTTAATATAATTTCAAAAATGTATACGAAACATCTCCTAAATAAAATAGAGGACTGGTGCTTGGATAAGGAAATTCTGGCAAATGAGCAGGCAGGTTTTAGATCAGGTAGGTCTACCATAGACAATTGTTTTGTCCTTTCCCACTTAATTAATAAATACAAGACCCAGGGGAAAAAGCTATATACCGCCTTTATTGATCTTACTGCTGCTTTTGATTCTATAGATAGGAACCATTTGTGGAGGAAACTACAAGTTATGGGGATGGACCCCAGACTTATTTTGTTGATCAGGATTCTCTATACTAATACGGCAATTAGAGTCAGATGTGCAGCAAATGGGGCCTCAACAAACAGCATACCGACAACTAGAGGAGTGAGGCAGGGCTGCCTGCTGGGCCCTACTCTTTTTAACCTTTATATAAATGATATCCCAGCGCAGCTGGATGATCTTATGACGCACAGCCCCCAAATAGGCTCTAGATTTATTAACGTATTAATGTATGCCGATGACTTAGTGTTGTTTTCTAGAACCCAAATAGGAATGAGGAGACTTCTTGACAAGCTCACACATTACTGTACTGCAAACCACTTGACTATAAATGTAGCTAAATCAAAAGTTTTAGTCTTTGGCAACAAGAATAAAAAGCACAATTGGCAGATTAACGACACAAAAATTGAACAAGTTACCCAATATACTTATCTTGGAATTGTTTTTTCCAGTGCAGGAGGTTGGACTCCGCACCATCAATACCTTTCTCAAAAGGTTAGAGCAGGAGCAAGCCTTGTATCTAAATTAAGTAAACGAATCCAACCAACCTCCATTTTACCTCTTCGTAAAGTCTTTCAGGCTAAACTTGTTCCGATCATGCTCTATGGTGCTGAAATTTGGGGTCTTACAGAGGCCCCCATATTAGAGAGAACTCAAAATAATCTGTTAAGGAGGATGCTTGGGGTAAACAATTCCACTTCAGCTGCAGCCGTCAGAGCTGAATTGGGACATTTCTCACTATACACCTATACAATCACTAGGGCGGTAGCCTACTGGCTAAAAATGACCCAGATGGATGCCAGCAGACTCCCTAAAATATGTCTAGAGGAACAGCAGATTTCAAATCCTCAAAGGTATTCCTGGCTAACCCGGCTGTCAGAAATATTGAACCGATATGGCGTAGGGTTCCCGTTGTGTGACACACTGAACCAAGTTAAACAACGGATTAAAGATATACATGGGCAAATGGATATGGCAACCCTTTCAACTAATCATTCCCTTAAACTGCTGACAGCAGTTAAAACAACTTTCACTCTGGAAAAGTATTTACATTTAGAAATGCCATCAGTGGAGAGACAGTTATTTGTTAAGTTTAGATTCGAACTTCTAGATACCAACGTTAGTTTCAGCCGTCATCGGAAAATCCCGTATGACAAAAGAATATGCATATGTGGGGTAAACGTCGTGGAGGACACGGCGCATATAATATTCGAATGTAGTCTCTATCAGGAAGTTAGAAATCAATATCTGTCCCCAATTATAAATAAATTTCCCCACTGGAATATAAGCCAAAAATTAGCATTTCTGTTGAGGGCTGACTCTCCTCCCCTGGTAAGAGCGATCACTCGATACCTTAAAAGGTTGACGGCAATACGAGCCAGTTATATCAAGGAAAATTTTATCGATTGTAAGAAAGATGAGCTCAGTTAGAGAGGAGCTATCCTATTTGGGTTATCTAGTCTTCTAGTCTTGGCAACTTAGCTATTGAAATTTGATATGGTAAAATTTTAATGTCATCTATCATATATTTTTAGATTGCTATTTTTGTAACTGTTTTATCTTTTTCCCTTTTTCTCTTCTGTTTTGTTTGAAAAGGCCTTCGGGCTATTCAATAAACTATACATGCTGCTGCCCAGAACTGTCCCGAACTGCAGACCAAGACCCCAGAAAAGGTTGAGAAGGGAGACCCCGATAACCCCACGGTCCTAGACCTGGACCAGATCAAGGAAGCCTTTGCCCAATGTGTGGGGCCCAAAGGCCTCGATGGGAACCAGTCCAGGCCATGTGCACAACTCAGTGAACCCAGCTGGCTGTGTTGTAAGGGTGCCTTTCCCCCCCAAAATAAACCTATGAGGGAGCCTCCCACCATCGGGAGGAAAAGGGCCCTTCATGCCACCTGTATCTTGAGCCAAAGGATCCGGGCTCTTGGTGGAGGAGAAACCCATCACTTGTGGTCATGGGAACCCAACTGCAGCAGTTCAGAAACCCTGGCAACTACGGTGAAGGGCTGGCTCTGCTTCCCTGACTCCATCCCGTCCATCGAATGGCCAGCTTGATGAACAGAAGGACCGAGGTGGGGGATTGTTCACCTTGCTGGTTGAGAATATCCCAAATTGTCTCCTCAGCAAAAGCATCTTTGATCGCATCCTACAAAGCCTCCAGTGGTAGAGGACGTGCCCTGAGGGTTCAAAGGGTCCCAAATCCCCCTTTCTGGGCATAGCCACACCTGGAAAGCCTTTCTCCTCAGAGTCCGTGGGCAGTGAGGGAGACGTGGCGGCTGCTGGGGCAAACAGCCCCACCCTTTGCTTCATGCCACAGTAAGGGTCTCCGTGCCCCGAGGCCAAAGCCCCACTCCGCTTCTCTGCTGCAGAGGGGAAGGTCAGCTGGTGGAGAAGGCCAGGCCCTTCCCTTCCTCCAGGCTGGGGCAGAGCAGGAGAAGAAAAGCTGTTGCAGGGATCACCTTGGCTGCTATACTTGAAGGTATCGCTAATTTATTGTTTTTGAAGCGGGTCTCTTGTGATTTGTGGGAAGGACAGGTGGGGAAAGGAAGCAAAGAGTTTGAATTCTTTCCCTTCCCTCTGAGAAGTCAAAGAGCTGCCAAATTCATTCAGAGATCTTGGAGTAGAGAGAGAAAATAAAGTTGTTGAATAAACTGTTTGTGAGCCAAGTTCTTTGGAAATTATTTTCTCAACCCTCCGGGACTAATGCAGGTGTAGGAAGGAAACACAGGGAGAATAAAAAAGGAGGAGATGCCTACACATCAACACCCAAAGTATGAAGAAGAAACAGAGGGAACCTGACGTCCCAGAACACGAGAGCAAAGATGAGATTGCTGCCGTTACTGAAACATGGTGGGATGAAACTCAGGAGGATTTAAATTTTTCAAAACACCTAATAAAAAGAGGTGGAGGTGGAGTTGCACTTAAACAGCTGCACCTTTGTAGAAATGCAAAAAGTAAAAAATGAAGAAAACCTCCTTGAATGCATTTGGGTTAATATGAAAGGAAAACGGAATGAGGTTGCCATAGGTGTATACGATGGACTGCCCAATCGGAGGAACTAGATCAGGGGCGTCAAACTGAAGGGTGCTTGGATCTGGCCCGTGGGGAACAGATCGGACTGGCCCACAATGTCTCTGCCAGTGAAAACAGAGCTTGGGAGGGAAGCGTGTAGCCCTACCAGGCCCAGTTTTCAGTTGCAACGGCCGCCTGCACTCCTCCGCCCCCAGCTCCATTTTCACTGGCAGAGGATTAGGAAAAGAAACTAAAAGCAAAAGAAATGTTTCTCCTTTTGCATTTGAGCATCCAAGAAGGGCCAGGAAGGAGAAAAGGCATAGAAGGAAAGACGAGAAGGGAGGAAGAAAGGAAAAAGAAGGAAAAAGGGAAGGAAAAAGAAGAAAAGGGAAGGGAAGGGAGGGCAGGAGGAAGGAAGGAAGGTTATGAGGGAGGGAGGATCTGAGAGAAGTCCTGTCCTAGCACTTGGACACCACAGGTGCCCACAAGAAGAGTGAAGATGAGAATATTTTGAATATTTTTGAAACAGCGGGGATCTCACAAAGAGTTACAAGAAACACAACAAAGCTCAAAATAACAGACAAATAAACACTAGCGGAAATGGAAGAAGAAATAAAGCTCATTTCCATAAATATAAATGGTTTAAACTCACCAAGCAAAAGACATCAAATGTTTACAAGGTTGCAAAAATTAGAGGCAGACATAATTACATTACAAGAAGTACACATAAGAAAACAACAGAAAAAACTACTTGAAAATAAAAAATTAGGAGTAATATATACATCTTTAGAAGATTGCAAAAAAAGGGGAGTGGTAACATATATTAGAGATCATATATGATCTAAACTGATTTACACTGATAAAGAAGGCCGAGTCTTAATGGTAGAACTAAAATTGGAAATAAAAACAATATTGTTAGTAGCTATTTACGCTCCAAATGGAAACCAATTAGATTTTTACAAAAAATTACATGACAAACTAAAGGAGTTGGACTACGAAAATGTATGCATTGTCGGCGACTTTAACGCGATAGTAAACTTACGAGGAGATTACCACAGCACTAGGAAGAATAAAATTAAAAGGAAGACATTGCCACAAACATTCAAAGATTTAGTACAAGAAATGAGCCTACACGACACCTGGCGAGAAATAAATACCAAAACAAAACAATATACATATTTCTCGGGCCCACATCAATCGTGGTCCAGGCTGGATATGGCTTGGATGACACCTCAACTAAGTAAAGAAACACACGAAGTAGAAATTATGTCTAGTATATGGGCCGATCACAATCCTATCAAAATAGTCTGGAAAGGTTTCCGAAAACAGAAGAGATGGAAAATGAACACAAGTATAATAAAGGAAAAAGAATATCAGCAAATGATAGAAAAGGAAATCAAGATATTTCTACAAATAAATACAAAAGACACAACATCATTACAAAACCTATGGGATACCACGAAAGCCTATATTAGAGGCCTAACTATTGCATATATGGCAAGAAAGAAAAAGGAGAAACAAAGAATCAGAAATGAATTATTGGAAGAAATTAAGACAGAGGAACTTAAATTACAACAACAGCCCAACAACACGAGTGTGCTACAAAAGCTAAATTTGGCCAAACATAAACTGAATCTAACCACAAAAACTGAATTGGCACAGAAAATAAGAATGGTAAAACAAAATAATTTTGAACATGCTAACAAAACTGGACGCTGGTTAGCATATAAGCTAAAAAAGCAAACAGAAAAAAGAATTATACACCAACTCCAAGACGAATCAGGAACTCTTTACCACACACATCTGGAGAAGAAAAACATAGCCAAAATTTTTTTTTCAAAAACTTTATTGTCAGGAAGAGGTCCCGGAAGACCAAATAAAAAAATACCTCCAAAAAACCAACCTTATGCACTTCACAGAAGATCACAGAGAGATGTTAAACCGGCCCATAACAATGCTGGAACTAATGGAAGCCCGCAAAAAACAAAAGAACAATAAGACTCCAGGACTGGATGGAATTCCTACTGAATTCTATAAACTTTGTCAACAATCGATAGACCAAATACTGTTACAAGTTTTTAACGAAGCACTACTGATAGCAGAAATTCCAAAATCTTGGACAGAAACTATTATTACATTAATACACAAAGAAGACTCAGATCCGACGCAAATTAAAAATTACAGACCAATTTCATTACTCAACGTGGACTATAAGCTATTCATGTCAATACTAGCTCAGAGACTCAAAGCAATAACACATAACTATATACATCCAGACCAAAACGGTTTCATACCTAAAAGACAAATAAAGAATAAAGAATATATTCTGAAAATGATTAATAAATATAATGGAATACTATGATCAGAAGATAGACAGAGAAATGGCCATAATCTCCCTTGATGCCCAGAAGGCCTTCGACAATTTGAATTGGTCTTTTTTCACAAAACAACTTGAACTAATGAACTGTGGAGAGAAATTTCATAATCTGATTAAAAAAATTTATTCCCAACAAACAGCAAAAATCTCAATAAATGGCGACATGACACAAATTTTTGATATTCAGAAAGGAGTACGACAAGGATGTCCCATGTCACCGCTAATATTTATAATAGCATTGGAGGTATTATTAAACGAAATAAGGAACGAGGAAGAAATCAAAGGACTCAAGATCCGGGGAGAGGAGTACAAATTGCTCGCCTTTGCAGACGACGTAATTTTCAACTTGGAAAACCCAAGACGATCTGGACCCAGACTGATGTCGATGATAGAACAATATGGGGAAGTCGCGGGCCTCAAAATAAACAAACAAAAAACAAAACTAATGACGAAAAATATGACCCAGACTCAGAGATCGGAATTAGAAGAAGAATTAGGAATCCAATTAGTAAAGAAGATAAAATATTTAGGTATTTGGTTGACGGCAAAAGCAACCACAATTAAAGAAGACAATTACACGAAATTACTAAAAGAAATTAAAAAAGACCTGGAAATCTGGAACAGGCTACAATTGTCATTGATGGGCAGAATCAGTTCAATTAAAATGAATATATTACCGAGGGTACTATATCTATACCAGGTAGTACCATTACGTCCAGGAAGGGACTTCTTCAAAAATCTCAACAAAATTACAACGACCTATATATGGCAGGGAAAGAAGGCCAGAATTAAGATTAAAGCGCTACAAGACACACGAGACAGAGGAGGCCTTGCAGTACCAGACTGGGAGCTATATTATAAAGCAGCCGGATTGACCTGGATCAAAGAATGGATGAGATTAGATGACAAAAGAATGTTATATCTAGAAGGCTTTGATCTCATACGAGGATGGCACGCGTTCCTATGGGATGGACCAGACAAACAACACATGTACTTCCAAAGACACATAATTCAGGCCTCACTCTTCAAGATTTGGCAGGGAATTAAGAAAACTTATTATACTAAAATACCAAAATGGTGGTCCCCAATGGAGGCATTGATATTTCCAAATACCCTTGAAATCGGAAAGATGATGAGATACCAAGATTTACTGAATCATGAAGGAGAACTCACTCCAAGACATCAACTCCAAAATGGCGATATAAATATTGATTGGTGGCACTACACTCAAATACACTCAAGATACAATGCGGATAAAATCAAATATGGAATTGCAAAAGATCTGAACGAACTGGACAGAATTTTATTGGGAGCAGACCAGAAAATGATTACTAAAACATATAACTACCTTTTGAGAGACAAATTAATAGAAGAAACAGTTAAACATAATATGACAATGTGGGCCAGGGACATAGGACATAATATTCAATTGGCAGACTGGGAGAAATTATGGAAGCAGAACATAAAAATGACAAGAGCCACATCCTACAAGGAGAACCTCATTAAGATGTTTTATAGATGGCACTTACCACCAGCCCGACTTGCCAAAATACACCCAAACACTTCGGCGTTGTGTTGGAAATGTAAATCAAAAAAGGGGACATATTATTACACTTGGTGGAAATGTAGGAAAGCCCAACACTATTGGCAAGATATAAAAAATATTATCGAAGAAATAACAAACATTCAAATAGAAAACAGTCCAGAATTTTTTTCTATTTGGCATGATAACGGCACAACATCTTAAGGAAACGAAATATCTCATCATACATATCTTGACAGCAGCAAGACTACTGTTCGCGCAAAACTGGAAATCAGACCAACTCCCATCCAAAGACAAAATCGTTGCAAAGATAACAGAGTGTGCTGAAATGGACAGATTGACGCTGGAACTCCAGGAAAAGGAAGAAAGCGAATACTATCTTGTATGGCACCAATGGTATCAATGGCTGGAAAGGAAAATCAGCAAAAATGTAGAGGACAGAAATTAGGGTAAAGACTTTCACAAGGAGATGAACCCATAAGAAATGTAAATTTGTAGTGGAAAGTTATAACATTGGAATTAGACATTTAATAATTACTCTTTATTAAACTATATAAGCTCAATGACATATATTCTGTTGATGACAAAAGCGTAAATGTAAAATGTTAGGTGGGTTTGTAGGTGGTGGGTTTTTTGTTTGTCTTTGTATTGTATTGTCTTTATATCTGTGTTTATATTTTAATAATAAAAAAAATTAAAAAAAAAGAGAATATTTTGAATAATCCACCATATTTTCATCCAAGATGCTTTAACTTTTTTACAAGTCCACCAAACATGAAAATAGGTAGAATCAACACAATCACATCTCCAACATTTGGGCTGTAGTTTTGGGTACATACAAGCTAACTTTTTGGGATCCAAATGCCATCTATAAAACATTTTATAAAAATTTTCTCTCAAATTTTGAGCTTGTGTAAATATGGTGGATTATCCAAAATATCCTTAAATATCCTTAAAAAGAAGATAAAGTTTACTCCACAGTTGTTTTTGTTAGGTATAATTACAGATTGTACGGCTATAGAGACTAATTTGATTTTGAACCTAATAACTGCAGCAAGACTCTTGGTGGCACAGTACTGGAAGAAGGAAGATTTATCTACTATTCAAGAATGGACATTAAAAGAAGTAAATTTAGCAGAAATGGTGAAAATTTCAGCATATCTAACGGACCATTTAAATGAGAAATATATTTTAGAATGGAGAAGATGGATTGATTATATTCAAGGCAAATATCGGACTAAAAAATTTCAAATAGCTTATGAATGATCAAAGAGATTTTATAAAGTTCTTAAATTTAGTTTAGTAAAAGGGGAGTTAAAAGCTCAAGAGGGGGATAGGAGGTTATAGATAATTAGTTTATGTTAGTTTATGATTGTCAAATGTTATACCCTGTATTTTGCTCTGGGAAGTGGGGGGTGGGGGTGGGAGGGGAGGGGGGGTTGGAAGGGGAAATGTTTGTAAAACTTCAATAAAAAAAAAAGAAGAGAGAAGATGAGCTGGCCACGCTTACCCAGGGACCTCCCCCCCAGGTCAAACATAACCCTGATGCAGCCCTGAAGGAAATAAGAGTTTGACACCACTGAGCTAGATGCACCTTTTGCTAAGCATTTAGCTGATGAACAGAAAGCAGAGGAATGGGGGACTTTCCCTATCCTGACAACTGGGGAACACCCAGTCTCTGCACCTAGTGGGAGGACCAAACAGGTCCCCAAAGACTCTTATTCATTTAAAACGTTCTTATAATTGCCCATCTTTCAGTCAACTCTGTGCAGCTCCCAAAAGGGTGTTTTCAAAAGTATCCAACACATTAAAACATAAAATAAAAACCATCAAAGAAAAACCTGGAGCCAATCCATGCCACCTTCTCCTTGTCTGACCTCCCAGCGCCTGGGGAAAAGCCAGGGGTTTAAAGGCTAAAAGGGTGGGGGCTTTTTAAGAATATGGCTCATATCTCACAAAGCTTCCTTGGCCTTAGAGAGTCCCTTGTAGGGGTTTCTGCTGGAAGACAAGGGGACCATTCAGGGAATCCAACTGAGAGCTTCAGATGCTTGGGGATGGTCTTAATAGGTCCCCACATTTGGGAAATCCACATAGATTATATCAAACAATGGCAGGGAAAAGCTCTTTCACACCCAGAACAATAAAGTTCAAATTAGCAATAGATTTCAGCCACAGTACACTTGCTTCCATGAGGATCTGAGTGGGAGGAGCATTCAAAGGCAATTTATTAGAATATTGTAGCAAAGAGATTTCCCTCAATGAAAAGAGGGAATCCAGGACACAAAGAGCGGCTGATTCAAACTCAGGGTCTCCGAAGGTCCCACAATAGACCCAACTGACTGCCCTTCATGGGCTCATATAAGGCTTCAACCCTTGACCTCCGCTGGCCTCAATACGGGGGGGGGGAGACCGGACCCCAAAGTTCAAAGAAAGCCCCCCCCCCGTCCCACCTCCGCCCCGGACCGTAATAACTTGCGGAACTGCGCAGGTGCCATGTGCCTTGTTGCAGGAAGAAGGACACTGATTGGTCACGCTCGGGATGTCAGCAATGGGCAAATGGACTCCAAGGGGCGGATCCTACAAGGGAAAAGGCGGAACTAGTGGAGAGAAAAGGGCGTGAAGCCTCCACTTCCGGAAACAAAAAAGGCAGTGAGGGAAGCTGCCTGAATCGGCGACAGAGGAGGCCGTTTGATGCAGGTTTGGCGCAGGGGATGCTGGGAATCGTAGTCCGGGAGGGTCTCTTTCAGGTCCGCATGGGGGGGGGCTTGGACCTGGGCCTCCCCTGTGGGGAAGGGGACGCAGCCGTGACCTTCTTCTCTCTCTCACCTGCAGGAGGACGGATGCAGGAAAGAGGCGCCGCCCGAGAGGAGGAGGAAGAGGAGAGCGGCGGGGAAAGGCCGGGGGGCTCTGGGGCTGCAGGCAGGAGGAGCCCAGGGGGAGCCCGGGAAAGGCAGCTTCCTGGAGGGCGATGTGGAGAGGAGGAAACGGGCGGAGACCCCGAGGCAGGCTTGGAGGGCGGAGGTTCCTTTGAAAGCCCCCGAAAGCCCAGAAGGATCCAGGAGGAAGAAAATGAACATCAGTGCCCAGAATGTTGTAAAACCTTCAAAAGAAAAGGAAACCTTCAAAGCCACCTAATTATCCACACAGGAGAGAAACCTCATAAGTGCCTGGAGTGTGGAAAGAGCTTTGGTGATAGGAGCACCCTCTATAGACATCAAAAAATCCACTCAGGAGAAAAACCACATAAATGCCTTGAGTGTGGAAAGAGATTCAGTCAGAGGGGACATCTTTATAGACATCAAAGGATCCACTCAGGAGAAAAACCTCATAAATGCCTGGAATGTGGAAAGAGCTTCAGTCAGAGGGGACATCTTTATATACATCAAAGAATCCACACAGGAGGGAAACCTCATAAGTGCCTGGAGTGTGGAAAGAGATTCAGTCAGAGGGGATATCTTTATAGACATCAAAGAATCCACTCAGGAGTAAAACCTCATAAATGCCTTGAGTGTGGAAAGCGATTCAGTGAGAGGGGACATCTTTATAGACATCAAAGGATCCACTCAGGAGAAAAACCTAAGTGCCTGGAATGTGGAAAGAGCTTCAGTCGCAGCAGCAGCCTTTATACACATCAAAGGATCCACTCAGGAGAAAAACCTCATAAGTGCCTGGAGTGTGGAAAGAGCTTCAGTAAGAGGGGACATCTTTATACACATCAAAGAATCCACTCAGGAGAAAAACCTCATAAATGCCTGGAGTGTGGAAAGAGCTTCAGTAAGAGGGGACATCTTTATACACATCAAAGAATCCACTCAGGAGAAAAACCTCATAAATGCCTGGAGTGTGGAAAGAGCTTCAGTCAGAGGGGACATCTTTATGTACATCAAAGGATCCACACAGGTGAAAAACCACATAACTGCTTGGAGTGTGGAAAGAGCTTCAATCAGTTGGGAAACCTTTATACACATCAAAGGATCCACACAGGAGAAAAACCTCATAAATGCCTGGAGTGTGGAAAGCGCTTCAGTAAGAGGGGACATCTTTATACACATCAAAGGATCCACACAGGAGAGAAACCTCATAAGTGCCTTGAGTGTGGAAAGAGATTCAGTCTGAAGGGAAATCTTTATATACATCAAAGGATCCACACAGGAGAAAAACCTCATAAATGCCTGGAATGTGGAAAGAGCTTCAGTCAGTTGGGAAACCTTTATACACATCAAAGGATCCACACAGGAGAAAAATCTCATAAATGCCTTGAGTGTGGAAAGAGCTTCAGTCATAGCAGCGCCCTTTATACACATCAAAGGATCCATTCAGGGGTGGAACCTCATAAATGCCTGGAATGTGGAAAGAGATTCAGTCTGAGGGGAAATCTTTATACACATCAAAGGATCCACACAGGAGAAAAACCTCATAAATGCCTTGAGTGTGGAAAGAGCTTCAGTCTGAGGGGAAATCTTTATATACATCAAAGGATCCACACAGGAGAAAAACCTCATAAATGCCTTGAGTGTGGAAAGAGCTTCAGTCTGAGGGGAAATCTTTATGTATATCAAAGGATCCACACAGGAGAAAAACCTCATAAATGCCTTGAGTGTGGAAAGAGCTTCAGTCTGAGGGGAAATCTTTATGTATATCAAAGGATCCACACAGGAGAAAAACCTCATAAATGCCTTGAGTGTGGAAAGAGCTTCAGTCTGAGGGGAAATCTTTATATACATCAAAGGATCCACACAGGAGAAAAACCTCATAAATGCCTTGAGTGTGGAAAGAGCTTCAGTCTGAGGGGAAATCTTTATGTATATCAAAGGATCCACACAGGAGAAAAACCTCATAAATGCCTGAGTGTGGAAAGAGATTCAGTCTGAGGGGAAATCTTTATATACATCAAAGGATCCACACAGGAGAAAAACCTCATAAATGCCTTGAGTGTGGAAAGAGATTCAGTCTGAGGGGAAATCTTTATGTACATCAAAGGATCCACACAGGAGAAAAACCTCATAAATGCCTGGAGTGTGGAAAGAGCTTCAGTCATAGCAGTGCCGTTTATACACATCAAGGGATCCATTGGGGGGGGGGACACCATATAAATGCGTGGAATGTGGTTCTTCCAAGATAAACACCAAGTCATCGGCAAATGCTTGCAATTTATATTCTTGATTTTGAATTTTCATTACTTTTATTCCTTTTTCTTCTCTAATATTTCTATTTAGTACTTCTAGTGTTAACACAAACAACAATGGTGACAATGGACATCCTTGTCTCGTTCCTTTTTGTATTTCAATAGATTCTGTCATCTCTCCATTCATCATTATTTTGGCTGTTTGTTTATAATATATAGCTTCTATAGCTTGAACAAATTTCTCTCCAAAGCCCATCTGTTTCAATTGTAATATCATAAATCGCCAGTTCACATTGTCAAAGGCTTTTTGTGCATCTAAAAACATCAAAGCCACTTGCTTTTCTGGGTGTGCATCGTAATATTCCAATGTATCCAAAATTATCCTCAAATTATCTCTAATCTGCCTTTTTGGCAGAAATTCATTTTGGTCGGGGTGTATAAAATTATTTAGATATCTTTTAAGTCTTTCTGCTAATATTATAGCGAAGATTTTATAGTCTGAGTTTAACAAGGATATTGGCCTATAGTTTTTGACTTGTTGTAGATCAGTATCTTTTTTTGGAATAAGTGTAATATATGCTTCTAACCATGAGTTGGGTATTTCCTTCTGTAACATTACTTCATTCATAATTTCTAGTAATGGGAGACTCAGTGATTCCTGCAAAGTCTTATAATATTCCGCCGGTAATCCATCTGGACCTGGTGCTTTCCCACTTTTTTGTTTTTTAATAGCCTCTGTCAACTCCATCATTGTTATATTCCTTTCTAACATCATCTCAATATCTTTTGGGATCTGAGGTAAGTTCGCCTTATGTAAATATTGTTTAATATTTTCCTCTTCTATCTTTTCCTTTTCATATAACTTTTTGTAATAGTCTTGTACAATGTTCTTCTTTTCCTCATTTCCAAATCTAATTTGTCCTTGATCATCTGTTAGCTGAGTTATTTTCCTTGAGCTTCTTTCTTTTTTCAATTTATAAGCTAGCCATCTGCCTGGTTTATTAGCATCTTCAAAATATTTCTGTTTAGCATTCCTGATTTTTTGTGCTAACTCTTCTTTCTCTAATAATCCCATTTTATGTTTAATCGTATCCATTTTCATTTTAATGTCTTTTTTTTGTGGGAACTTCTGCAGTTCTTTTTCTAATGTCTTATAATCATCCTCTAAAGTTTTATATGCTTGTCTTTTCTTAATATTTCTTTTCCTTATATAGTCTATAATCAGGCCTCTGGCATAGGCTTTCATGGTGTCCCATCGATTCTGCAGTGATGTATCCTCTTTTCTATTTTCTTTTTTAAAAAAGCTAATTCTTTCTCCATCTTCTGTAGGAAATCCTTTTCTTTTAAAATTGTAGTGTTTAAAGTCCATCTGGACCTTCTCCTTTGTCCTTTCCAACTCATCATCATTGGATTATGATCTGCCCAGGTATTAGCCTCTATGGCTATTTCTTCTATATTCGAGGTCAAGTCCATTGTCAACCATATCATATCTATTCTAGACCATGATAAATGTCTATTGGAGTAAAAAGTATATTGTCTATTTTCTGCATTTCTTTCTCTCCATATATCTTTTAAGTTTATTTCCTCTATAAAGATTTCGGCAAAGTTTTCCTACTTTGTTTTGTTGTCTTTTGTGTACTGTAGTCCATTTTCTCATCTACTATTCCATTGAAGTCTCCCATCATACAGATGTTTTCGTAGCCCAGCTCTATTACTTTCAAATGTAATTTTCTATAAAAGTTTTCTTGATTGCCACTAGGAGCATATATCGCTGTTAACAATATTTTCCTGTTATTGTCTGTTATTTCCACCATCAGAATTCGTCCTTCTCCATCTTCATAATTTTTTCTGCTAATATTGTATCTTTAATGTACAAAACCACTCCTCTTTTCTTACATTGTGGCAGTGAAGCAAATAGTTTCCCTAGTTTGGTTCATGCTGCTTTTTAATATGCACTTCTTGTAAACAAATTATGTCCATTTTCAATTTCTCCAATTTGTGAAATATCTTTCTTCTTTTAGTTGCTATATTAAGTCCATTTATATTTATTGTGATTAATTTTTTCTCCTCCATGTTTATATTTTTTGTATTGGTTTTGTTGATCTATTAGGTCTCAATTCACGTTGTTCCTTGTATTCTATGGCACCTCCTACTGCGCCTTCTAATGCGCTCTCCTCCTTTCCCATCATCAGGAGATCCTCTTCTTCTAGTTGGAGCAGTGACTCTTCCCTTCTTGGCACATCTTTTTCTCTTATATATTCCACAAGAAATGCTTTAGCTTTGTCAATTGAATCTATTTTGAATCTTTGTGTTTGCCATGTAAACACCAATCCTTCTGCTATCAGCCATCTGTAGTTCACTCCTTTCTGGAGCAGTATTTTTGTCAAAAATTGATACTCTCTTCTCAGCTCTCTTATTCTTCTCGGTATTTGCTTCAGCACCGTAATTTCCTTGCTCTTGTATTGTAACGCCTTCTCTTTTGCTATCTGCAATATTTGTGTTTTGATTGATTTTTTTGGTAAATCTTATGTGGACTTCTCTTGGTAGTTTATTTCTCATTGCATATCTAGTATATACTCGGTATATTTCATCAACACCATCAAACATTTTTTCTTTAGAAATTTCTAGAGCTCCTGCAAGAATTTCTATCATTTTTTTCCGCCAAATTTTCTCCTTTTTCTTCCTCCACATTTTGAAATCTTAAGTAAAATTCTGATTTATCCATCTCCCATTCTAAGCCGCTTCTATCACGTTCAACTTCTTCTAATCTATAATCCATATCTCTGATTTTTTTATCTCTTTGTTCCTCTTTTTCTTCAATTTTTTTCAAGTCTGTCTTCATATTTCTTCATCATCTGTTGTATATTCTCCACTTTTTCATCTGTTTTCTCTATTTTAGATTTTATGTCTTGTATTCCTTGCAAAATCATCCGCATTGTTGCATCTTTTTCTTTCTCACGTTCTTTCTCTTTTTCCTGCTGAATCATTGTCTGTATTGATCGTTGTCCTCCCGCTGGTGATGAAGAAGGGGTCGATCCGGCAGAACTAATAACTGCTGTTTTTTTGCTCATTTCTATAAGTAATCCAATTCGACACAGTAGGGTAATATATCTTCAGGTTCTTCTCAACCCTAATCCGTTTTGTAGATGGCAGGAGATTACAAAAGGTTAAAGAGAAAAAGAGAAAACAGAAAAAAGCAAAAAAAGGGAAAAAAGGAAAGTGCAGCAAAGCATGAAAAAAAAACCCCTAAAAAGAAAACCAACACTCTTCAGGCTCTTGTGTGCCCTAATCCAATCATCTGAGATAGCCAAAAAACAAATTCAAGTAAAAATCTCCAATCAACAAGTGAGAAAGAAAAAAGAAAGAAAGAAAAGAAAAGAGACCAAAGGAGAAAATGGGAAAATTTCTTCAGACTCTTGTATGTCTTAATCCAATTGTGTAAAATAGCCAAAAACCCATTCAAATAACAATCTCCAATCAGTAAATTAAAAAAATAAAAAAGAAGAAAGAAAAAAATGAATTTCTTCAGGCTCTTATGTACCTTAATCCAATTAAGTAAACATTTATTGTGAAGGAATAAAGGAATAAAAAAGGGAGAAAAAAATATATGTATATATCTGTTCCAATATTTTAAAATGTTTTTAAAAATATAATTATTAGTGAAGTGGAAGAGTGGAGCTAGAGAGAGAAAGAATTTCCATTTTATATAAAAGTCCACAACTGTGTAACATTCAAAATTTCTTTCTTGTGCACACTTAGTCTAACAGCTCTCTTTTCCAGAGCCGCTGTTATTTTCTTCTTTCCAGTTTTAATCGCCTTTCAACAATGCTTTTCTCAGCAAGACACCTGTATAAACAAACTTGTAGGCACTCTTTGATGTCCTTTTTAAATTTTATCTGTAAGTTAGCCAATTGACCTTGAAAAATAACACAGTTGCTACTTTTTTCCCTTTCCCCTCAGTTCAAAAAAACACCAAAAAGAAGATACAACGTTTCAATCCACTAGATGGCAGTCTCTTATTTCTTCCACTTTCACTTCTGCTTTCAATTAGCAATATAGCAAAAAGAATATTAAAAAAAATGAAGGTCTGCCAAAAACAAAAATGACAAATCTAATTCCAAAATTAGTAATCTCAGTCAACATCAAAAATTCAATAAAAAAGTAAGCCTCCTTTCCAGTCCAGTCCAGTCCAGTCCAGTTAGGTTTAAAGTAAAACTTTCCGCAGATATCCACACATAGGAATAGTTTATATTTTAGGAAAATTAACTTAAATTCAGGCTCAATTCCGCCGCTAAATTACTTCTATATTAAATCCTAGTTGCATTTACTCTTCAGGGTGTTTGTAAAATCAAATTAGAAAAAAACTCTCACCAGATCGTAACATTTTCACTCATTCTCTTCCGTTCGGGGCTGTCCCAACTTCAGCAGCTTAATGGCTGCCTCTTCAGCGCTGGAAAAAAGAGCTTCTCCTGGATCAACCAGGGACTTTGCGGTGTCCCTGGGATCAACAGAATGTGCCCTCCTCTATCACTGTCTCAACAGGACAGTGAGATCCAATTTGGATTGTCCCGCAGTGGAGATATCAGTGGTAGTTCCGGAGCCCCGAAAACTTCCCGCTGTCTCGTTGCGATGCCAGCCCCGCCCCCCACTTCAATCTGTAAACAAATTGATAGATAAAATAGGAGATTTTGGGAAAGTGGCTGGGTTGAAAAT